GTTTAATCCCTCCTTCATATTTAAATGATAATCGTGCTGGTTACAGAATTCTTGGTTCAAGGCCTTTCTGTTTCATTGCATTAAATATATCATGCATTCTCTTCTGGCCTGTAGGGTTTCTGTTAAGAAGTCTTATTATAGCCTGATGGGTTTTCCTTTGTAGGTGACCTTTTTTTCTCTCTCGCTACGTTTAATAATCTGTCCTGGTCTTTGATCTTTGCCATTTTCATTATTATATGTCTTGGTGGTGTCCTCCTTGGATCCCTTCTCTTGCAAGTTCTGTGGGCCTCCATGGTCTGAGAGACTATTTCCTCCTCTAGTTTGGGGAAGTTTTCAGCAATTATTTTTGCAAAGACACTTTCTTCCCTTTTTTCTCTCTCTTCTTCTTCTGGTACTCCTATAATGTGAATATTGTTCATTTTGGATTGGTCACACAGTTCTCTTAATATTGTTTCATTCCTGGAGATCCTTTTATCTCTCTCTGCTTCAGCTTCTCTGCTTTCCTGTTCTCTGATTTCTATTCCATTAGCTGCCTCTTGCACCTCATCCTGTCTGCTCTTAAGTCCTTCCAGAGACTGTTTTTTTTTTTCTGTATTCTCCTTCCCTACTTGCTCCTTTAGCTCTTGCATATTTCTCTGCAGGACCTTTAGCATGTTATCACCTTTATTTAGAATTCTTGTTCCAGAGTATTGGTTAAATCTATCTCCCCAGGCCCTTTCACAGGGGTTGTCTGGGTAATTCTGGACTGGACCACATTCTTCTGCCTTTTCATGGCGATACAGGTAGCTGTAAGCAGGTAGCCCATGTGTCAGCTGGGAGAACAAAGTCCTTTCCTATTTACTGGTGGCCTTGCCCTTCTCCCCTGCCTGTGTCGGTTACCCGCACTCCTGGAGCAACCTCTGGATTAATCCCCTAAGCTGCCGTGGGCGGGGTCACTCTCAGAGTAGTCCAGAGCCCTGCGGGGAGTGGCAGACATGCCAGGTGTGCTCTCCTGCGAGAGCAGTGCCCCTTCGCGCCTTCCCCCTGTTTCTTCTGCCTGGGCCGGGCAGCTGCGCTCTCGTGGTGGTCTTTGGGTCTGGCTCAGGTGACTTTTGGCAGGAGGAGATTCTGTGTGGCTCTTGGGGGTTTGGCCGCTGCCCGACCACTCTGTCGCCGCCAACAGCTCGCATGGCTGCTTCCGCGCTGCTCCATTGCCACCACCGCTGCCGGCTTGTGTGACTGCTCCTGTGCGGCTCCCCGCTGCGGGTGCGCACAGCCACTCTCCGGCTACTGGGCCACTGTGTCAGGGGCTGTGCCAGCTGGGCAAATGACTGGCAGGCTCCTTATCACCATGAAGGGCTTCAGAGCTGCACTGCCACCGTGTTGGTTAGGGCGCCTGGCATTCCCCGGCATTCCCAGCTGCTGGGCTGAGTGTGCTGGAATGCTTCCATACAGCTTTGAGGTCCCTGTCCCTTTAAGACTTTCAAAAAGCACTTGCTTTTCTTTTGTCCTAGGGGAGCCGTTTGCGGGGACCCGCTCGCAGATTTTGCTTTTCCATTTCTCTAATATCCAGCACACCATGCACTATGTTTCTGCGCTCCTGGTGCGGATTACTGGAGCTGGTTGTTTAGCATCCTGGGCTTTCACTCCCTCCCCACTCTGACTCCTTTCCTCCTGCCAGTTAGCTGGGGTGGGGTGAGTGCTCAGGTCCCGCCCGGCCGCGGCTTGTATCTTACTCCCTTTGTGAGATGCTGAGTTCTCGCAAATGTAGATGTAGCCTGGCTGATGTACTGTATCCACTGGTCTCTCTTTCAGGAATAGTTGTATTTGTTGTATTTTCAAAAATATATATGGTTTTAGGAGATTTCCGCTGCCCTACTCCTGCCGCCATTCTTGGCACTGATCCAAGAAAGTCATTTTTAATGCCACACTGGTTGGAAGGGAGGAACCATATATTCTTCAGGGAAGTCAGGTTGGGCAGAAAATGACTTAGGGACAGAATTAGGTAAAGAGATTGCAGTGGGCAGAGAACTAAGTGTGCCTCCAACTGACCCACCAGGTGAACAGCTCTCTCAGTTTAGATGTAATAGAAAGTTGAATAAAGGATGATGAAGAATATAGAGTTATTAAGAAAAAGCACAAGATAATTAACAGAACCACTCAGATTTTGGCTCTGTATAACAAGGGGCAGGTCCTGCTCCATTTCTCCTAAGTTTTTCTTTTTAATAATTGGCTTGTTTCTGAAAGCTAAGCTTAATGTTTGAAAATACATAAAGAATTACACATGTAAAGTATTAATTGTTATCTGTTATGTTGTGTGATCCCTACCATCATGTTTTTTGAAGAGTTCTTTTCTCTACTGATAGAGAAATGTATGTAGTAAGAATATTTATATTTTGAATTATTTCACTATGACTTAAATCTTCTCATGCTCACTTTTCCTCTTAAATTCACCATTTAACCATAGATTTTACAAAAAATACTTGGATTTATATTTTTACCCTATGAGATACTCAGATTATAGTTACCATGAAAGGAATTTCACTTGTATAAATGTGTTCCCCATTTTGAAATGAAATAGACTTTCAGGGAATCTTTATCAAGAACAGTTAGAGAAGTTCTTAAGTACTCTTGAAATAAACTTCAAGAGAAAACAGGCTTGTGGAAATTTCATGTCCAATTTAGGCTTTTGTTACACATACTTGAAACTCTTACATGTAGTGTGTTATTCCTAGCTTGATAAATTTTAGAGGAAAGAGGCTTATGTTTAGAGAAAATCAAAAAATCAAAGGGTAGCAGTAGTTTCTAAGTCTGACAGCCTGAGTTCCCCCTTTTTTGGCTTGGTATTTACTAGTGGTATCAGAACCGGAGGAGATGTTCCAGTGGTCAGAAACAGCAGATTTTGGACCCCCACATTTTATTTATATCCAGAAGTAAGGAACAAAAGTTTCTTTGTACCAAGTAGTTATAGATCATTGATACCTGAAAACACAAATGTGAGCCTTTGTTTGCTTACTTTATAAAGTGCTTCGTCTCTCAGTTGGGGACATCAGGGGAGTGGGGCCTTTCTGTCTGGTTTACTGAGGCGTCCCTAGCACCACACATGGAACATGTTTTCTGGTTGATTGACTACTTTATACTTACCAAGTACTTTAGCATGTATTATTTGTAGTATAAACTTTACAGTTATCCTGTGTAGTATTATTTTTAGATGAGAAAACATTCAGAGAGGCTAAGAGGCCTCACTCAGGGGTTCTGGGTGGTAGAGCCCTAGTCTCAACACTTTGGTTTTCTTACTTAAGTCCAAGTTTTTGTTTTTTTCTACTCTATCAGACTTTCTTTCCTCTGGGTCTTAGGTATCCTTAGAAACAGGTTAGAAAGAGGGAGAAAGTATGGTCTTCCCATCAGAAACCCTTTATGAGGGAGGTGGCAGAACAGGGTCTCTGGAGACAGGCTGGCTGGGTCTTAATCGCAGCTCTGCTACTTGCTGCCTTTGTGACAAAGTAACCTTTTTCTACCCCCTTTTCTCCATCTATGAAATGGATGTGATAGTAGTATTACACTCAAAGGATTATGAAGAGTAAGTCAAAAGAATTAATAAGACTTGTTAAATAATGGAAAAATAAATATGAAGAAAATGTATGATTATCATGAACTAATGTGGAAAGTTATAAATCTATAGCACGCACTTAAGAAACTGAGCATGACTAGGACTTGTTTTGTTTTTTGGTTTCTGAGTTGCCTTAGTCTTTTCCAAGTTAACTAAACCCACCCCAACCCCTATTTTCAGCTGCATTTATTCTTGTATTCTGGAGCCATTCTTTATACCTGTCTTCATTTGAAAAAAAATTTAAAACCCATGTGTTCCAAGAAATCTGTGATGATGAATTACCCTCTTTTCCTAAGAGCCTAGTTATAGCTCATACTTTTCCCTATTCAAATCACACAGCCAAGATGTGTATGTACTGTGAGAATTCAGTATTTGTTTGTAGTCAGTAAACTTGATTAGTTCTTTCATTATTGTGCTTTTTAATATATGTTTCATAATAATGATGGCAGTCTTTGTTCTAGAGCTTACTATGTGCTTTGCAAACATCATCTCATTTAATCCTTGAGACAAATAAAAACACCTTGGGGCTGTAGATATTGCCCTGTTGAGAAATGGAAGTTCAGGGGAGGTAACTTCCTCAAAGTGATCTATCTGGTTAAAGATGGAGCCACCACTATTTAAACTCTGACTTTGAAGCTCAGGCTCTTAACATCTACTTTCTGTTGCCTCTTGTCTCCATGGAAGGTGTCAGTTTTAGAAAGTTTGTATCTGGAGGACAGGTTCTAGAGCAGTGAAACAAAATTTACATAGAGGGTTTCAGAGTCTCAGGAGCAGTTGATTCTTAATAACTCTAGTATTGAGAGGGGTGGGGGCTTAATTATAAGCACAATACTGATTTTGATGACAGGCCATCTGAATTTTCATTTTTAAAAATACTGAAGTAAAAATACATCTTTTAAACATATTCTTGTTTTTTAGCTCGATTGGTTGATTGAGCATGTCCATGTATGACCAACAGCTCCACTGTCCTGGCATCTTTCTTTCTGTTGTTTTATCCTCTCTGATGTCTAACCTCTCTGCTTCGCTTTTATATGTTGTGCTCTGACCACATGGCAGCTACGGGTGATCTTACATGCTGTTTTTATCCAGTAGGTATTAAATTAAACTACTGATAGAATGAACTCAGGTTGAGCTGATTTGTTTGTCCTAGAACATGTTTTTTCCAGTATTATCAATATTTCCATAACAACATCAATCCTAGGCAGTTTGTGGCTGTAATGGTGTCATTCATAGAATTTAAACTGTGGATGGTATTTTAATGCTCATAGGCATTCCAAATTTTATCTCCATAGACTAGTCTTTGCTATTTTTAAGGTAAATGCACATACTAGAATGCTAGAATTTTCTTTTTTCCCAAAATATAGAATAATAAATAACCATTAACTCTTGCTTTTTCTATTTTTAACTGTAGTTCCAGAAGAAAACATTGCAACCATGAAGTATGGAGCCCAGGTTGTAAAAGGGGAGCTGAAGTCTGCCTTACTAGATGGTGATACTCAAAATTATGATTTGGATCATGGATTTTCTAGGCACCCAATTGATGATGACTGCCGTTCTGGCATTGAGATTAAGCTAGGTCAGCCATCCATTATCAATCACATACGGATACTCCTGTGGGACCGGGATAGCCGGTGAGTCATTAGTGTAACTTAGAAACTGACATGATGTTTGATTGAGATGGCCTAACCTTATCGTCATGTACTCTGGTTTTACAGATTTGATCGTTTATTTCTTTGTGATCACTTTGCTATTTCTGTTGATGATTAGTTCTGGGGGAAGAGTTAAAGGGTATATTTAAAAAAAAATAATAACCTTTTTTGCTTTTTTATGCTTATAAAAATAATGGTATGTATTTACTGTAGAAATCTAGAAAATATAGAAAAGCACAAAGAAGAAAATAAAAAGTGCTGGTAATCTTATCACTCATTTATTAATCTTTGTATTTATCTAACCAGTATTTTTTTTATTCTTTTTCTTTAATTTTGGTAACATTAATCTATAGTTACATGAGCGACATTATGGTTACTAGACTTCCCCCCATCATCAAGTCCCCACCACATATCCCATTACAGTCACTGTCCATTAGCATAGTAAGATGCTGTAAAATCACTACTTGTCTTCTCTGTGTTATACAGCCCTCCCTGTGCCCCCCACCCCCTACATTATGTCTGCTAATCGTAATGCCCCCTATATTTGTTTGCTAATTGTAATGCCCCCTTTCCCCCCTTATGTTTGCCCCCTTCCCACCCATCCTCCCCAGTCCCTTTCCCTTTGGTAACTGTTAGTCCATTCTTGGGTTCTGTGAGTCTGCTGCTGTTTTTAACCAGTATTTTTTGTTATGTATAATCTCACATACACACACACAAAAACCGCACCTAGTTTACAAAATAAAGATTAGATGTGTGAAAAGCTAACTTTACTTTTTAATTAATACATTAATTAAAAGGTGAACATCCTATCCTTTTAAAAATATTCCTCTAAAATGTTGCTTTTAATGGCTGGCTGGTTTTCCATGACATGGGTTACCATTATATTTGATTCCTTACTTTTGGATGTTATAATAACCTTTTAAAATGCACTTTATTTAATGGATGAAGAAAAAATTGTCTTTTAGTGTGTGGACAAATATCCCCAAAACAAAAGAAACTTGTGGAAAAAAAAGTTTTAAAGTTTGGTGGGTTCCCGCCTAGGAACCCACCCATTTTGCAGTGGCTTTAACATTCTGCCTTCCTTCTAGAAACTCTGCTACTCTCACTGTGATTTTTAGTGTTCAGCCATGATGGCAGAAGTGCCAGAACAGTATGGGTGACCAAGAACTGAACTGTCCCTATGATTGCTGCTTAGCATTAATCTAGACCTTACATATTCAGAAGCTGGTGTAGAGTCCACTGGGTCCTGCTTATGCCTCTTTGAGTCTGTGTATGAAGGGCATAATAGTAATGGTGATGATGCCCTGCAAATCTTGCAGGTTAGCTTATTAGCATCACTGGGTACCAGCCTGGCCTTTTAGGCCATTTGAGCCCAGGTAGGAAGGAAACTTTGCGAAGTGGGTGTGAACATTTTCCATGCACATAGGTGTTGGTCATTCAGGGCCTCCAGGTTATCCCCATCTGTGTCTTTTTTAATAAGAATATATTTACTGATAATGTATCTTGTTGGATGTATGATATGTAGTTGGAGCTAATTCATATATCATTTCCAAGAATGTCTGATTAATAATAATACTTATGTATCATTTTCATCAGTTTTATGTGGAAAGGCATTGTCCTAAAAGCTTTACATATATTCACTCATTTAAGTAATAATACAATTAGTATAAAAATAATAAAATAAAAGTTTAGTATGTTTGAAACTGAAAGTAGTTATCATCATTGCCATGATGTTAAATATTTATAGGCCACTTTGTTTTAGTATGCGCTTTATACTCATGGGGGGCTTAACTTTGCCACATAGCAGTTCTTTTCTCCAAGCAGCTGTTATCATTCTAAGCAAAGGTGAGAAATTCAGAATCGTAAGCCAAAAAGATTCTGACATGTGTTGTAAAATTATATCCTGCATTACTGATAACCCAGAGAGGTTCAATAAAAGGTTATAACCAGTTTGAGACTGAGCTTTAAAATGAATGGGAGTGAGGGGACAGCAGAAAATGAGGGGATGACACAAAATAAGCTGACCTTTTCTGGCCACAACTGTTGGTTGCAGGCTGACATTTATGGTCACCTAAATCTTCCAAGGTCGTTCCTGTTGATATTACAGTACAAGTAATAACTGCATCTCAAATTTAAATTTGGCTTACGACAGGGGAATATAGATTGTTCGGTCCGGGACCAGCATGTTGGTACAGGGTAGCTGACTAAGGGAGGATGAGAAGCTATTTTCATTACCACCAGATTATTAGCTGCCAAATTTTAACTTGTACCCCAAAGAAACACGTATTATCTCTTCTCCCATGTCATCTATTTTTCTGCAGGCTGTGTGGTGTATGTGTGAGATGGTAGAAGCCTGGGAAGGAGCACGAGATAAGTTAGCCTCTGTGAGGAACCATTCCGAGTTGGCTTTCCTCCTCAGAAAGCAGAGCTGAGCACCTAGGCCAAGGAAGAGGGAAGGAGAAGGCACACCTCTTCTCTATTTCTGTCCTCTCTCAGTAGTGGTTTTATTAACCTGCTAATACAAAATGAGCAAGGCATCCCGGCCATGTTTGAAAAGAAACAAATGTCTTACATGCATGATATGTGCCAAGCACTGTGCTAGAACCTGGGTATATGAAGATAAATATGGCATGGTCCTTGTTCTTGGGCAGCTTGTGATCTGAACGGGCAGGCAGATAGGCTGCGAGATCCTCTCAGTACACTGTGGTGAATACTACAATAGAGGGAGCTGTACAGATTTCACTATCACCAACATTTGTTCTGCAAAAAGTGTATTTAGTGAATAGGGTACTTGTTAAAGTATAACTTTGTATTGTTATTTTAATATGGTACTTTTTTTTCTGTCTTTTTCCGTTTGATTCATAGGTCTTATTCATACTTCATTGAAGTGTCAATGGATGAACTTGACTGGATCAGAGTGATTGATCATTCACAATATCTGTGTCGTTCTTGGCAAAAGTTATATTTTCCAGCCCGTGTCTGCAGGTTAGTACTTGTGGCTAATAAGTGATTTTGATGTTTATTTAGGGAGTTTTGGACTTTGAGATATAGACTACATGTGTCCTCATGAAAGGAGTTTTCAAGGTATCAGCTACCAAATGTATCTCAACTAAAAAACCTAGAGAAACATGGAAAAGAAGCATCTTAATATTTTAGAGTGTACTGTGGGACTGTAAAGTGTTTTGTACATGTTTATGTGATAGGCATGTAAATGAATGAGAAGGGATGGGCAACACTGAGAAATAGAAATGCTTTTTCAACTTCATGCACTGTACATTGGAAGCAGAGTGATTGTTGGGAGTGGGTTCTTCCCACAGAAGCCATGGAAGATGTTTCTGGAGGCTTTCCTGGTAGTCCTCAGGGCCAGAGGAGATTTTTGGATGCCAGTGGGTATATTCTGATTATCTGTGTGCTTTTTCTAGGTCAGTGTCTATCAATGGAGTTTAACAGAGCAGGTGTTTCTAGTGGGTTGGTTTTTGAGACAAAGGAGGCTGAACTGGTGGGGCTTTAACCTCATACCCTCCCTTGAACTAAAGCACTTTATCTTTTATTATGTTTATATATTGCAGCCCATGTAAGGTTATTTTTAAAAAGTGTTTAGGAACTACAGTTCTAATATTTCATATTCTCCCTTTAGATATAAGCCATGTTTTAAACTTTCTTGCTGAGATTCTGCAAAACCTGTACCAATAATGAATTTGAGAATTGGAAAAGGTGGTTAAAAGCACCCAAAGTTCTATTGTAATTTTTCCCCTGAAAATTGCCCTCAGATAGTCTTTACCTTAATGTCAAAAGATAAAAGGTAGAATATGATTGTTTCATTTAGTAGGTTGTGGCAGGAAGAGAAGGAAAGGGAAATGGTGGACATAAACCAGGGAGAATGTGGAGCTGGCCTCTTAGCTACTTTTCCCTCCCACTGTCGCCTGTGACCCTGACTTACTTCCTATTGGGGCTGATTTGGAACAGGTGGCAATGCCCCACAGCACTTAGTCTTTTGGTCAGAAGCACCCTTATACTTATTAAACTCATGACTAACAGCATCAGGCTGCATTCTTACCTCCACTAAAAGAACTCCACAAAACCTTTCAGCTTCTGGTACAGTAAAGAATGTTGCCTATATTTTTTTATTATGGATATGACTGGACACAATATTGTTACCCAGGGATCCTCTTGTGTGAAATGAAGAAAATCAATTTCATCTCTCCAAAGAGAGACTAAAGTGTCTTAGACCTGGCAGTTGCTCTTTTATCATAGGAGTTTTAAATGGATTAAAATGAGAGGGACAAGAAATTGAGTGAAGATTTTGTATCTTGGAGCTGCCTAGGGATACTTTGAGAGTGATAGAAGGGCCTCCATGTGGAGGAGGAGATTGAGTCTACATTGACTCAGGCTGTTATGATTGTATCAGATTTTAAAATACACGGTATTAGTAACCAAAGTGTCTGAGGTGGACCGAAGGACTGTTGTGTTTACATTTAATTTTAAACAGTAGGAAGGTGATTCCCAGAACAAGTCATGGTACATATAATGCCAGCCATGATAAAGTCTACATGCTTTACCCACCTGGAAACTCCCATTTTATGGAGGGAGATGCATGCTCTTAGTCATGATCTCTGGCTTTTAGAAAGTATACTTCCCCTTACTTATTAAACGGCATTACTTCTACTTCCCTTCTTTATTTTGTCTTTCCTGTGTGGCCTTGCCTTTGTTGATGTAGTGTTTATATGTTGTAGAGCATGGCTGTATTCATGATGCTAGTTTTTGTCTTAGTATAGTTAGCTCCCAACTCTGGTCGGGAAAAATTGAGCAAAGATGATGTTAAAGCTAATGATAAGAAGATGCAGGAGTCTTGATACTCATATTAATCAGAAAAATTTTAAAAATATAACCCCTTTAACTTATATTAATGAGTACATTCCTTCATAAACTCTGCTTTTTGTTATAGGTTGAAATCTTGGTACTACTTAAAAATGAACCTAAAAGTAAGACCCAACATGTCTCATACTGGTGCTTCTTATCTTCACAATCATTTTTCGACTACCTAAACATTGTTCTAAATGCACCTCTTCCAGGAATTTCACTGGGCACATATGAATTCTTTATTACCTTAGTACGTGAGTGTTCAGTTTGCATTATGTTAAGTAATTTGCACATTTGTATGTCACCTTTGTTCTTTACTGTTCTTCAAGTGTTTGTCTTGCCTCTTATACTAAAATTACAGCTGCTTGGCAACAAAGAATATGGATTCTAATCTTTTCATATTCTTGTACAGTACTCAGACAATGACCCTGTATGCAGTAGGTATTCTATAAATGTTAGCACAGGTTTCATGGGTCACAGCATTGCCTGGGTAATGAAGAGAAATTGATTCAACATTAATATGTATATATATTTTTTGGTACTTTTAATCCCGTGTCTGTTAAAATGTATATTAGTGCTGGAAAACTATAGTTCTATACTGTTTGCAAAGATTACTTTCTATTTTGTCTTCAGGAAAGTGAATTTTGAGGTTAATCCTCAAGGGTGTGAGTGACATGTATTGATGAAACATAATATCAAATATATTCACAGAAGAGATACTCTTTGAATTGGGAAGTGTGAGATTACCCAGCCCTCTCTCTCAGTCTAGTCTGAATTGCATGTAAATCAGCATTATATATAGTGGAAAAACCATGGGCCGTGTAGTTAGAGCTCTTCTCAAATGCTGGTTTCGTCTAATACTGGAGTTGTAATCTTAGTGAAGTTGTGCCTCTCCGAGTATACCTGGGAGAGAAGAATAGGAATAACAACACCCTTCATGGAGTTTGCTGTGGACATTTAGGTGATGTAGTATATCTACCAATACTGAACCCAGAGCATGGCCCAAAGTAGAGGCTTAGTAAATAGTTGTTTGGTTTGATTGTATTATTTTAAAAATTCTTTCTATTTTTGTCTAATTTTTGAGACTCTGAACTGGTGTTTGGCCTTCAGAGAAAGAGAGCCACCCCTGCTACCCTCTTTGGCCGGGGTGGCTTCACTATGAGAAAGCTGCGCCTTAACTCAAGAGCCTGTTCTTTTCAGCACTTTTCCATAATGCCAGTCCATACATAGCAATGCAAAACATGCCTTGAATGGTTCTTTTTATCTTAATAACCTGCCCATTGGTATGTTTCCAGCAGTTTTCATATATTTTGGTTTGGGGGAAGTATCTTTTTACTGTGGTAAAATATATATGACATAAAATTTGTCATAATATTTGTCATAAAATTTGTCTTGTAGAATGTAAGTCAGACTGCATTTCACCTCACCAAGGCAGTGGATGTTACTTAGTGGCACTAAGGGTAATGTCAGACTTCAAAGCCAGAGCGATCGTTCCAACCATAGCAGTGAGTGCAGGGAAATGATCTGCCCTGTCTCCTGGATTCTTTTTAAGAATGCAGTGTGGGTTAAGTGGGAACTGCTCTGTGTAGGCAAAAGCTTAAACTAGTAACTCTCACCCCCCAGCTCCCAAATGGGGCAAAGAAAAGGGACTTGTCAGTTTCAGTACAATCTTTCGTATGCACTCAGAACCATGTTATATCTTATCAGCTTTCTCTTTCTCAGGAAAAGGCAATTTCTGCTTTACCCATAAATTCTCCAACTTTCAAATTATCCACTTGGCTATCTAATAAGCTCTGTTCAAGTCCTTTTTACAGCCTTCTTATATAGAACATATAGGGCTTAACAAAACACTACTGAGTGGTGCATATCCTGGGGGTGTTTAAAAAACATCTCTGGCTATTTCTCAACATAGTATTGGTAATTTGGCATCCATTAATGCTGCTGAAATATGACAAGGTGTGTGAAAGGGTAGAGGTAGATTACAGACTCTATATGATTGGTAGCTGGATTACAAAAGTGATCTTAGTGTAAAACCTGGGAGCTGAGGGAGAGAAATAGCCTAAAGTGAAGTCCTCAACAATATGCCTACTGAGAGAAGGAAGAAGAGACTAGATGGCAGACATGTTTACTGCACAGGCTGGTCACAGAGATTAGAGAGAATCAGGAGGATCACAATTTACTGAAGACAGGGCTGGAAATGGGGTTGAGAAAGGTGTGACTGGCCAATTTGGAACATGGCACAGGAGGGATGAACTCAGTTAACGCAGAATTGGCTTCTTCCTTTCTCTCCTTTTTTTTTTTTTTGATTATAAAAATGGAGATGTCTTTTTAAAGACTTATTATAAAGTTATGATGTAGTATATATTTTAAATATTGATAAAGTTTGCCCTCCAGTAAGGTTGTATCTAATTTCTACCAGTAGCTCATAAAAAGTCTCCTTCTTCAAATCCTCACTGATGCAAGCCTTGTCAACATTTTGCCAATGTGATTTATGATTTTTAAAGTCTTATATTAATTTGGATTTCTTTCGTCAACAGTGAGGTAGAATATCTTTTAATACTTGCCATTTGTTATTTCTCTTTTATGAAAAGACTGTTTTTGTCTTCTGCCTCCTTTTCTTCTGGGATGATTATCTTTTTCTTTTTGGCTTGTGAAGTTTTATATTGATGTATCCATATATGCACATTAATAAATATATATAATGTCATATATGTATGTATATGTGTATGTACATATAGATGTATATGTGTGTATGAATATACATATATATATGACATTATCCTTTTGCTTGTCATGTATTGTGCAATTTGTGCAAGTTCTTAGTGTTTCATTGGTAGTTTTTGCCATATAGAATTTTACTTTCTAAAATGATGTAGTCAAATCTGTCAGTCTTTTATTTCTGATGGTCTGGTATCATGTTTAGAAAGGTGTTCCCATCTGTAATACTAAACAATGTTATAGTTTTATAAACATTTTCTACTCTTTGTTATTTTTATGTTTATATCTAAGTGTTTAATCCAGCCAGAATATTTTTCATGTATATTTTCAGGTAGGACTAAAACCATTTATTTAATTGTTCCTTACCATACTAATGTGGACGGCCATGTTTATCATGTGCTGAGTTC